CCCTGACATGACGTGCAACTGTGGGACTTTGTCTTTGTGGCCTTCTTCCCAAAACCCATAACCTCAGTCTAATCATGAGAAAAACAGGCGACAAATCTCAACTGAGGGGCAGTCTACAAGACACCTGGCCAGCGCTCCTCAGAACCGGCAGGCCATCCACAGCAGGGGGTCTAACAAGTCACCACCGCCGGAGAAGCCTGGGAGACACGAGACTAGACGCAGTGTGGGAGTCCGGTGGGTCCTGGGACAGAGCAAGGAAATTGGGGGGAAATTAAGGAAACTTGAACAAAGTCTGGCCTGGAGCCGCCAACAGCGTATGGATACCAGCTCGTCAGTCGTGCTAGAGTAAGATGCTGACGAGGGACAGGGTTCAGACACACTGCTGTGCACAGGTTAACACACCTGGCCACCGCTCCTGGTCTTCTTCTTGGAGATCATTTTTCAAATAAAGCACATGTGAAATATTTTTGTGCTATTTTTTCTTGTGCTACAGTTAATGATATTCAATTCACTACTAACATATTATAAAAAACTCAGCTGCTGCTTAGATGTTTCTGATTTTAGAGCCAATTTCTAATTCTACTCAGGGTGACTTTAAACAGACTTAAAGCCAATTTTCATTTTGTTTTGAGACAGGGTCTTGCTCTGTCACCCAGGCTGGAGTGCAGTGGAGCAATCATAGCTTACTGCAGCCTCAAACTCCTGGGCCCAAGCGATCCTCCTGCCTCAGCCTCCAGAGTAGCTGGGACTTCAGGTGCATGCCACCATGCCTGACTAATTTTTTTTAAAGTTTCTGTAGAGACAGGGTCTTGTTATGTTGCCCAAGTTGGTCTCAAAATCTTGGCCTCAAGTGATCCTCCTGTTTCAGCCTGCCAAAGTGCTAGGGTTATAGGCGCCTAGCTGGAATGACAGTTTTTAAGTGTTTCTCCCATTAAAATAATTCACTGTCTTATTTTTGCCCTGATATAGACTTAAATTCATAAGTAGTGCCCCCCACCAGGATGAGCTGGTCATGAATCAGCTAAGCAAATGAGCTGATGACTGCTATCACCATTGTCACTTCCAAAAGGTGTCTTCTTTCTACGACACAGAGCAGCGTGCCAGGGAAAGAGAGAGTGTGGGTCTCCCAGCACTGCCCTCCACCAGCCCGGCGCACTTAACCTGTCTTGGCAGCAGCACAGTCCTTCCAAGGGTCAGCTGCGGAATCGGCCTCCTGCAGGCGGGAACATGGCCCAGGGTGGGCACTTGGGTGCACGCAGGTGGGTGGGCTCCCTCCCACCTCCTGCTTGCCCAGCACCTTCCAGGCCACACCTGGAACGAGAAAGGAGCTCCCTGGACAGGCTGGTCCTGAGCAGAGGCCTCGGTGGCGTTGTCCCCACCTGTCTGATGAGGGCAGACAGCAGCAAGGCCCAGAATCTCAGAACCGGCCCCTGCTCACAGCCTGGGCCAGTGTCCTTGCTGGCCTGGCCTGGCCCCGCACACCCCACCCTGAAACGCCTCAGCACAGGCAGAGTGGCCCCAGGAAGCCCAGGTCTGGGCACAGGCCTCCCCATCTCTGCAGGGTGTGAGATCAGGTAGTCAGTGGGCAAATGGCACGGCACAGCACCGGCCCCCACAGCCCTTCTCAGTCCCCGGCACCGTCTGCCCACCGAGGCCCCGCGGTTAGTATCGCTTCCTCAGCCTTGGCTCTCGGCCCAGGATGGGGGTGGGAGCAGCCTGGTGAGTGATGCCCAGGCCCCAGGGGTGGCCCTGCCATAAATAGCCCCAAGGACACATCCCCCTCCAGGAGAGGCCAGACCTGCCACGAGGGCTGCAGAAAAGATGTGTTCTAGATGAAGACGGGAGGAGTCTGCTGGGATCTCAAGGTCCCCATCCCGTTACCTGCCCTCATGGCCACAAAGCACGGGACACTCTCCCTGGCCTAGGAGGGCACACGGCACCCCCTGCTCCGTCCCTGCTGCCAGGGTTGGCTACTGGGACCCCGGGGCCACCGCTGGCATCACCTGGCCTGGGCCCAGACTGGAGGGACCCGAGCAGCTCCGGCCAGCCACGGCCCCTGCCCCGCCCCGCAGCAGGAAGCAGGCCTGCCCTCGGTAACTCAAACTTCACAAAGAAACCATTTCTGGAATGGGGCTCCCTTTGGCGACTCTGAGTCAAAGGCGCGCTTCATAGCTCCCTTCCAAATCCTGCACATTGTCAGGGCCCTGTCCCCTTTGAAGCCTCGCTGAGTGATTGAAGCGTCTACTTTCTGAGGGGCAGATAGCACCGGGCTGGTAATCTGACTCTAAGCCACAGGATAAAGGTAGTTTGTTTCCTCTCAGCCTGTCTGTCAACACCTCCTCAGTAATTAGCCCTAATTATTACAGAGGGCCAGCCTCCCATTCGGTTATTAAATCAGAAATAGTATCATGGCTGGGCATCTGTCAACGCCCTGACTGGCGACCTTCGATTCATTGAATGCTCTGTCAGTATCCGCCTTAGGAAGCGCCTAGGCGGGCAGGGAGGCAGTGGCTTCAAAGATGAGGATCCCAGGAGGAATTCGGGGAGGCAGGTGGGCGGGGCCCAATCCAGGCCACTGCCCACCTCTGGGGCTGCCAAAGTCAATCTCTGTGCAGAGGTGGGGTGGCGAGACACGCCCCCAACAGCCCCTTTTCCTGGAAGGCAAAGTGCCCCAGGCTTGCATCCTGAATATCTCCAGGACCAGCAGGCAGGCTTTGCCCTTGATTGACAGTTCGGCCTGGGGCCCAGCAAGGCTCTGCACTCAGTAGGTGAGGGTGGGAAACAGGGGTGGAGGTGGGGGGCTGAGCCCCAGCCACACGAGCCCTATTCTGAGCTCATGGGTGGCCTGGGCATCTCCCGTGAGCTGGAGAAACCACAGAAAACAGAATTCAGATCTAATCATAGACATGGATTTCCACGGTGGAGCTGAGAACACTGCAGTCCTTTAGGCCCTGAGGAAGGATAGCCACCTGCCCCCGCCCGGGGCCCAAGCCATCCAAGAGAAACAGCCACCTGCTCTGCAGCCAGAGCCCTCTGCGCTGGGCAGGGCACCACTACTCCGGCTCCCCTGGGGGGAGGATGCCCTTCCATTAAGATTCACAGCCTCTGGCCAGGAGCAGACACGACCCACCTCCCTGGAGGCAGCACCCAGGCCCCTCAGGTGGACTACCAGCACTTCTGCACAGGCTGAGGCCAAGCTGTGCCCAACCCCAGCCCCATGGGGAGGTCTTGGCCTGCAACGAGCTGGGTGGTGCCCAACAAGCACCTGGACACACACCCCACCTGGGCTGTGGCACCCCTTCCAGACAGGCCCCACTGCATTTGAGGAAGAGGGTCACGGAGACCAGTCACCTGTGCTGGGGACATGGCCCATGTGGCGTGGTCGGTGCCCGAGCAGAGGGTGCACAGCCCTCCTGCCAGCCCATCCTGCCAGGGGCTCCACCAACACTTCGAGCCCTCGTGGCCACCAACTGCCATGCAGTGCCAGGCCGGGCTGGGGCAGGAGTGGGTCTCACGGAGACAAGGATGAGAGTTGGTGATCTTTCTCCACGATGTCTGGAAGCCTCTGGGCTGGAGCGTGTGAGGAGCAAACTGCTGGTTGGCCCCAGTCAGCAAGGCCTTTCTGTAGCCTCGGGCGCCAGGCAGGCACTGAGTCTACAAGTCAGACTTCTTGGCAGGCACTGGGGTGTGGGCTGCCGTGGCCAAGCCGAGAGGAAATGCCAGGGTGAGGGCTGTGAGGCTGCAGGGCAGCAGGATGGGCAGGGGGTCTCCCCATGAACAGGCATCCCACACCACAGCTGAGGACATCCGTCACCTAGGAGTGGGCTCAAGGAGCCTGGCAAGATGGCAGGAAGGAAACCTGCCCTCGGCAGTTACGGGCAGAGGTGGGAACCCAGCCAGCGATGGGCCACTGGCCTTTATTCCCTCTGAACACATAGAAAAATCCGCTGCTTCTCAGCAAGTGTGGGCATCCCCATGTACTGCTCTGGGCTCCGCCAGGAGGCCTGGTCCACGGAGAAGGCTGGCTGCCCACCCACAGACACGCAAATGAGGGTGAAGGCCAGCCTCCTGCTTGCATTGGACCCAGGGGTGCTGCAGGCCAACCTCACTGAGGGGGCCCCATGTGCACAGCCCATGATTAAGGGCCCCGTCGCTACAGCCCACAACCATACCCCAGCCCCAGGATGCAAGACACCACCCTGGTGAGGCACACCACTCTGGGTTCCTGAGATGGGGCGGGTCCCAGGCACCGACAGCCACGCCTCCACAGTCCGCCTGCACTGCCAGGGCTGGGGCTGCCCTAAAGGCAGATAAGCAGTCCAGAGACAGGACTGGGGTGGGAGGGGGAAGAAGTCAGAGGACCCTCTCCACCCATGTGGCAGCACTGCCGACGGGAAGACAGGGAAACCTGGCAAGTGCACAAGCACCCACCACCCACAGGCTCCAGCCCTGCACTGCGGGGCCCCTGAGGACAGCCGCAAGCCAAGGCTCTTCTCTGGCCAGCCCCACCCCACGCCCAGGAAAGGGATCCTGTGGCCCATCCACAGAGCACACTGCGGCCCAGAGAGAAACTAAGGGAGCACAGGCTCCCACTGCCCCAGAGAGTGTGCCTGGCCAGGCCACCCAACGCCAAGGCGTCCCAAGGCCTGTCCCAGGCCTTCGCTGACCACTGCTGGAGCCAGGCAAGGGCCACCATGGGCTGCAGCACACCACCCTCTCCGCTTTTGCATTTGTGAACAAATGCGTTTTAAAAAACGAGCTAAGACGATTTGAAGAACAAAGGCGGTGGCGGGGTGGTTATAAGGACTGATTATGAAGCTAGGGTGATGAGCAGGGTCACACCAGGCCTCACAGGCCTACGGGCCGCTGTGGCCAGGCTGGCGCCAGCAGCGCACGCTGGAGCAGCTACCTGCCCTCTATGGAAACAGGTGAAACGGGATCCGACTGGGCAGGATATAATAGGTCGTGCTGCGGAAAACACAAGCCCCAAACGCAGTGCCTTCACACATCAAAAATTTATTTCTTGCTCACGTTACATGTGTGCTGCTGCCAGCGGAGGGGCTCTGCCCGCCGCAGCCTCTGGAGGGCGGCAGCACACCCCTCCCTCACACCACACAGCTGCACTTGCAAGGAGACTCGGGGCTGAACGTGAAAGGCAAAACACTGCAACTTGGGAATACAGGACGGCTCCGTACTTGGAAACGTGAGGAGCGCGGTGTGCAGCACTGGGCGCTGCCTGCGTGTCGCCTCACGCCTCAGCACAGGACCCAGAACCCTGGGCCCGGAGAACCGTGCACTGTCCAAAACTGCAACAATAAAAACAAACAGACCCACCGTGGGCATCGTCATGGGCCAAGCTGTGTCCCCCAAGTGTTGTCACGTTGGAGTCCTCACCCCAGTACCTCAGAATGTGCAGATAGGGCCTTTAACGAGGGAATCAATTGCAGTCAATAGTGTGGGCCCTGAATCAACACACCTGGTGTCCTTATAAGAAGGGATGGGGACACAGACACACAGACTGGGCGGTGGCCACGGGAGGCCACCATCTGCAAGCCCAGGAGAGACCAGCCTGCCCACACCTCTGTCTTGGACTTCCGGCCTCCATAGCCCTGAGGAAAGAAATGCCCGTCGTTTGAGCCCCAGCCCGCTAAGCCTGTTCAGGGCAGCGGAACAGGCACCTTGCTGCAGCTACCGCTGCAGGCCCACCTGCCTGCGCTCAGGACAGCACTAACCGGCATGGCGTCGGGTGGCTGCTTGCCCCAGTCGACGCGAGTGCCCTGCCCCGTGGGACGATTCACTCTTATCCCACAGAACTTAGGTGTGGCCCTGGGGCTTCCTCTGTCCACAGAGACGTAAGTGGAGTGACAAGTGTCACTTGTGGCCTGCTGTGGCCTCCCCCCGCCTCTGCAAGTGTAGAGAAACACATCAACGTGGAGCTCCCGTCAGGTGGCTCCGAGGGCCGCAGCAGGCGAGGGTGCGTGGCCCACCACAAGACTCACGGCCTGGGCAGGAGACAGGCGGTGCCGACTCGGGTTGCTGAGCTGGCAGAGGTCCGTGACCGTGGTGCCATCTGGCCGGGCGGGCCGGCACCACAGGGAACAGCTCTATCTGCCTCGATCCTTACTGCTGATCTCTGGACTTGTCCAGTTCCGCTGTCCACGACGCAGTGGCACCCACCAGCCAGGCATGAGGGCCCAGGCCCCAGCCAAGGCACCGTCCACGTTCAACCCCCTGACCACCCTGTAAGGACAAACTAATATTTTCACAGCCCAGAGATCAGCAGACACCAAGGACCCCCAGCTTGTGTGGGGAGGCGGCCAGGCCCAGCCAAGCTCCAGTCCTGCTCCGAGCCCCACTCGCAGCCCCTGCGCACACGCAAGTGGCCACAGTGCACCTCTCGCTGTCATGCGGTCAAACCATAGGGTCTGACGCTCCCACTAACAACAGAAAAAAGCCAACCTTCTCTGTATCTTCAGCAATTCTGGGCATTTAAAACTTTAAAAATCCTGGAATCACAGTTAAAAAAAAAATTCGCTCATATTTCCCTATAGTACTTTTACAATGTTTTAGTGTTGAAGTCGCTAACCCATCTGGAATGTACACTGGTATAAAGAGTAAGGTGGATACCTGGTTTTACTGTCTTCCAGATGGCCAACCAGGTGTTCCAACTGCCATGACTGAATGATCTGTTTTCCCTCTATTAATTTTTGTTTGGTTTGGTTTTTTATCCAAGGTCACTCTACCTGAATTACTCCCATTAATTTGAAATGACATCTCTAGCATGTACAAAATTCCCATATTTATCTAGCTCTATTTCAAAGTTCTCTATTCTCTGTTCATCTGTCCACAACACCCAAGTACTTTAATTACCACAGCTTTATAAAATATTCCAGTTATCTCACGCGACCCTATCCTCAGTACTTCCTCTTTTAAAATTTTCTTTGGAGACAGGTACTTTAAAAACCATGTCATAGTGCCCACTGTGTTCTATCTCCAGGAAATAAAGCCTCCGGGTATTTCCAAGGGAAGTGAGGGACAGACACCACAACTGGAAGGCAGGCCCAGCAGCTCAGCCTGCCCTGGGCTCACTCCGCCATGCTCTGCCCTCCTGGGTGCCCTCCTCCAGTTCATCTGCCCACGTGCACAGGCCGGGAGTGGAGAACAACCCAAGGCCCGTTGCAGGCAGGGCCGGGCGCCTTCCCCCCAAGGAGCTCCGTCATAGCCTCTGCCCAAAGGCAGGTGCTACAGCTGCTGGTGACGGAGCCACTTTGCAAGGCCATGTGTGCTGCCTGTCTGGAAGGCTAGGCCAGAGCCCCGTCCTCTCTCACACCCAGCCTGCAGGCAACCTGGTCACGGCGCTGCAACGCTCTGCCTTCCTTCCTTGGGGGGGGAGAACCCAACCACAATAAATAGGACCAATTTTCCAAGTTAAAAAACAGGTCACCTTGACTCTCTCCCAGGTGCTCTCGAGCCTGCGTGGGCAGACACGGCACAGCTGGCCCTCACGGAGGCACAGTGGACCATGACCCACATCCCTAGAGCTGCCTGGGGCCTGAGGGAGGAAAAGGCCCAAAGCCCTGATGTGACGGGGTCTGAAGGGAACTCAGCTCTCTCAACCTGCTCAAGCTGAAGGGGTCCATTCCAGGCCCCCAGACGTAAGCAGGGCAGGCAGCCTTGCACAGTCCAACAAGGTGAAGTGAAGGCTGGCAGGGTGACTGGGCTGTCCCTCCCAGAGACTGGCTCTGTGTTCTGTGCCAGACTCATAGCTGGAGACAGGTGTAGGGGTGCAGCCCACCCCGACTCACAGAAGCAGGGATGGGACTGGAGAAGGCGTGCAGAAGCACAGGGCTGGGCCAGGATGCGCAGGGATTTCTCGCATCCGACTAGAATTCTGACTGTGCGCAGCTTCCTTACTCTATCATATCTATCACCTAGTTCCAAGATTTTCAGCTGTTGTTATTTATAGACATCTGTGCCTTGAAATAATACACATAAAACCACGCGAACCCAGAGCTCTTTTTAGTAACAGTTACCAAATAAAATAATCCCAATAATTACTATTTTTCTGAAAAAGTTTTACCAGATGTTTGCTTACTACTGTTTTTCCTAAAATAACTGGCTGTATTGCCAATTCAAGTCTCTACTTTTTCCTTCCTACTTTTCAGAAAGGTGTTATTTAAAATGTAAAGGGCTTGAAATTCTAGTCTCAGCACCCCTCTGAGCAGGCGCACACTGCACGTGGGGTGGCTGTACCCGCTTTTCCTGCCCTTCCATGCTCAGCTTCCACTAAAAAACCCACCTTGTGCAGAACAGGTCTTACTCCATTCCAGTCTCTGGGTTGGGGCCACACAGCTCTGGACTGCTGCCCAGTCCGCACTTCACCTATGACTCTCGGAAGTCAGTTTTCCAGGCCACCCCCCATCAGCCAAGCCCACTGCCACTTCCACCCCACCCCCACCTATTCAGCCTCAATTGCAATCAGAGCCTTGGATCCGTAAAACCCCCCCACTAGAAACCACCACACCTGTGACACTGACCCGGGACACTCATGGCCAGGCCTCTGCTCCTAACAACGCAAATTTAATGAGCACCAGTCGTGTACCAGGCCCCCAGTCTGCCAGGAAATACAAGTCACCAGGGTTTAAGTGCTGAATCAGCAACGCAAGAAAACGCATAAGGGAGGCAGCACAGTAGCGGGGTGAGGTGCCAATTCTGAAGAAAACCAGGCAAGACCAGAACATTAACACATAGGAGAGGGAACTGGAGTTGAGCCTGGCAAGGGACTTGCATCCCACCTTCCTGCATCCAAACCTCCCAGCCGGCCAGGGATGCTGGTAAACCCACAGGGAAGCACTGTTCTCTGCCAAGACACCATCTGACACCTAACGTGAGGATGAAAGGGGCCATCTTCTCAAGGTAGCCTACTAGCCAGGAGCACAGACGTCACAGGGAGCAGAGATGTTGGGAGTGCAGGCACCAGATCTAGGGCAGGCGTGACAGGCCCAGTCCAGTCCTGGCCAGTGTGGAAAAACACCAAAGGGACTATCTTGTGGGGACGGGGTGAAAAAGAAGATGCAAGTATCTGATGGGAGTTGACCCACAGAACTATTCACCTAGAGGGAACAAACTGGGGAGATGGCACTCCCTGGGAGGGGTAGGACACAGCTAAGAACCCAGCAGGAGCAGGAGCAGGAGGACAACGCACAACACAGAGGCCAAGGTTCTCCTGGGGACAGGGAAAGCTGTTTGTGTTCAACAGTTTTAGGCAGGACCCAAAACGAGTGTACCTCCTTGTTCAGCTCTAGGGTCATCTGAAATTATCTGGGGACACCACTGTGTTTTGACTGGCGACCATAGAGCTCTGCCCACACAGGCCACGTCGTCATAAGGGGCACTGCCTGGGCCTTGTTCAGAACCCACGGATACCAGGTGGGAAACAGGAGACAATGGTGGCTCTCCTGGGGCTGCTGGGGCATCCACCATCTCCCACGGGGTACCTATGGACACCTCCCAGTCTCAGAAACATCCTCTGTTTTCTGTGGCTTTGGACCCCCTGGGCAAGCTGGGTCTGGTCTCTGAGCAGGGGCTTAGCAGAGCCTGAAAGGGTAGAACAGGTTTGGGAGCTGCCTCCTTTGGCCAAGAGAAAGCTGGATCCACAGGCCCAGGATCTGAGCCGCATGTGCAACTGGGCAGGGCAGGGGTTCCTCAGGCCCAGGGGTGCGCTCCTTGGTGAGCTGCTGCCCGGCTGAAGCATTTCTGGATGTAGAGCTGGATCTAGAAACTGCAGGGGTGGCTGGAGCAGGCCTAGGGGGGCTGCCCATGTTGACTGCCAGGGCCTCCGAGAACAGAGCCAGGTACTGCCTCACCATGGGCAGCTGCGAGGCCACCGGCAGCTGGCTTGAGGCCAGGGACAGTGGGCAGGGCACTGCAGCGTGGTGCTCAGTGAAACTGTTCGGGTCCTGAATAACTTCCTCAAGATCCTGACAGAAGAGCTCGTAATCGTCAGGCAGGGGCAGGTCCCTATTGAGGTAGGGGCTACCCACGCCCGGGCGCGACCTCTCAGGCATCGGAGGTCTCACAGATGCAGCTGAGGTTGTCCTGGTAGTGCTCCAAGCAGAAAGACATGTAACCATCCAGCTGAGCCAAAAAGTGGTGCCGTCCAAGGTGCCTGGGTCCGAGCCTAGCACTCAGTGGAAGTCCACCCCGAGGGGCTGAGGGCTGGGCATGTGCCCAGCTGAGGTACGCCTTTCTGTTTGCTTACCACTGGGAGTGCCACTAGCTGTGCTCTTCTGCTCCACAGTTGTGTGCACCCATACAGGGTCCCCAGCTAGATCCAAGGGTCCACAAGGGGGATGCACCCGCCTCAGAGGAGGCCCAGTCCATCTGCTGCCAAGGATGTGTGCACTGGCACATCTGGCCACTGCCTGGGTGGGACTGCAAGAGCCCTGCCAATGGTGCTGCCCACAGGGCATGCTGGGAGCAGACGGGAGACCGCCCCAGGGGGCAAGCCAGTGGGAGGGGGGTGTGGACAGAAGCAGCTTGCACGACTCAACAGAACAGGGACGGCTGCACGTGGTAGACGTGGTAAACGGGCCCAGGCAAGTGCTGAGGATTGGGAGCTGACAGCTGCAGCCTCAGGAGAGCTGGGAAGAGATGAGAGGACCGTCAGACGCAGGCCATCATCTGCGGCAATCTGTCCAAAGACAAGGCAGGGAAGAGCAGGAACTAGGCCCACCCACCACCACCACCAGCTGGCAAGAGACAGAAAGCAGGCAAACCCTGGATCCCGACCAAGAGCTCTGAGTGGAAGCGGGGACACAGGCTGGCCCAGGAGGTCCAAGAAGACGAGCAAATGCCATCCATGACATTTCCAGGGCAAGGTATAATGACAGACACTGTCGATCCCAGGAGAAGGGGCAACTGGAACTGTCAGGGAATTTTAGGACAATAGTAGTACCTTTCACTGAGTGCTCTCTTTATGCCACTGTCCCCTCTCCCCCATAGTAGAATGGTACTATCCTTGTTGCCAAGGTGCAGAGTGGTGCAGTAACTTGTCTGCAGCCACACACCAACCAGTTAGTGGTGGAGGCAGCGGAAACTGGCTCTAGAAACCACAGGCTTGACCACTACACAGCATACAAATTTATCAACTATGCTTCAGTTCCGCTGCATAGGCTCCTGGCCACCCTAAACACTGCAAACTGGAAAGTATGCAGACCGGGTCCTCATAAGGTTCTTTTTGATCCCAGCACCAGGCCTGTGGTGGGTGCTACCTGCATGCCCACCAGAAGCTGGGAGCTGCCTCCCAACCCTCCCCCAATTGCTTTCAAAATGCACCTCTCAAAACTCTGAAAGCTGCCTGCAGGCAATGCCAGCCCCACCCCAAACACCGCCTTCCCTCAGTCCCTACCACAGCCAACAGCCTAGCCCCCAAATGTGCCATCCTACTTGCTGTGTCTCTGTCTGCTCCTGCCATTCCAGCCACCTGTGCCAAGGGCCTGGAGGGCCCCCCTCTTCTCCATGCACTGGTCACCAAAGGGGCTCCACAATCAACAGCTAAAGGTCTCTTCAAGTGCAAGGAGCCCTCCTCTGAGGGATCTCACACTCTGACCAGCCTGAATCTAGCCCCCTCCCCAGTCTCTCTGCTAAAAAAGGCCCACTCATGACCTCCACGAAACCCTCTGCTTCACCCCTGCAGACAAACCCCCCTCGGCGTGAGCTCTCCCAGGGAGGAATGGCTATGTTGGTCTCTCCACACATCCTTGGGTGGCTTGCAACACTCGAAAATGCCAGGGCCACTGGCACCTACCTCTGCAACCCAAGCATCCTGGAACTCCTCAGTTCCATCCCCCACTCTGGGGTGTCTTATGCATGAAAGCTCAGCCTTTCATCCTGGCTTCCCACCCTACTTGCAAGAAAAGAATATACTGTGGACTGCTAGCAGCAGTGCCCCATGGGACAGCGTGCTAGTGGAATCCAGTCCAGTCCCTCCCTGAGCTCTAAAAAGGCAGTGACCATGATGTCCGCCCCAGCTCCCAGCAGCAGCCCCAGATTAGGTACCAGGCCTTTCACGAAGACCACATTCCATGCCCTGGAGCCAGTGCACTGCCGAGATCTCTGCCCTGCTACCCACTTGTAACCCTGGCTGTCACCCTGCCCATGTGCCTGCAGTCTCAGGGAGCAGGCTCCCCTGCACCAGCTCCAGCCTGAGCCTTCCTATGCCTGGGCTGGCCTCCCACATCTGTCAATCTGTTTGTTGGGCTCCCCTGCTCCCCTGAATGGGGGCGTTCAGGCCATTCTCCTGGACTGAACAGCGCTCTACTAAGGGGCAGGTACCACAGAGCCCAGTGTTCGCCTCCGCAAAGCCCAACGCAGCGCCTGGACGCTGCAGCGTTCTCTGCTCCGAGGAGACCCGGGGGCCCCAGGACTGGAATGTGCCCAAAGCCCAGGCAAGTCGAGGGCAGCCGACCGCCAAGCCCGCTCTCCCCGCCCCGCAAGCAACCGCCATGCAGGAAACACGGGCTCCCAGGCCCCGGGACAGGAAGAAGCCCACCCACCTGTGGCGACGCGAGGCGCCCGCGGAGAGGGTCCGAGGATCCGCAGCAGAGACCAGATGGACGGGCCTCCCTCGGAGGGCAGTGTCCAAGCGCCACCTGGAAAGTGAGGAACGAGATGGGTCCCAGGAGGCCAGGCGGGGCGGGCGCGACCTCCCGGGAGCGCAGGAACGGCCCGCAAGTTCCCGGCGCCCCCTTCCCCCACTCCTCGCGCGGACCGAGACACCCAGGCCAGGGTCCGCGCACCTCTCCACGGGCCGGGGAGGTCGGTAAGGAACGGAGGGCGCAGCCCCGGGCCTGCGCGCGCGGAACTCCGCGGCCACACTGACCGTCGGGCCCAGGTAGGCGACGCCTCCTCGGAGCACAGCGGCGCTCGGCGCCAGACAGCGTCGCCCGGCCACGCCCCCAGCGTGCGCGCGGCAGCCCAGCCCGCCACCGCGCAAGTTCGGGGCACGCCCACGAGTGGGCGGTCCAGCCGGGCCGCGCCTGCGCCATGTGCGGGGGTAGGGGGCGGTGGCCGCACATGCGCTCTCAGATGCTGCCAGCGCGGCCGCCTGGCGCGGGGGTTGATGGGAGCGTGCCCACAGGCCCGCGCCGCGCCGAGGCCGCGAGCGGTCCCGCGCGCAGGCGACCACAGCCGACGGTGTCACCGTGCCCACGCTCGGATCTGGGAGTCCTGGGCCCGAACTGAGGGGCTGACCCGCAGTCACTGCGCGGATAGCTGCGCGCTGGGGCAGGGGCGTTGGGGAGGGTCCCGGCGCAGAGGGCTGCTGTGCTGCGGGCCGTGGGTGCCGCGTCCTCGCAGTGCCCCTCCACCCGGCGCCGGTGCGCGAACCCGCCTTGGCCTCGCGCCTCTCGCCAGGCGCACAGGCGGGCGGGCCGGCTGAAAGGCCCCCACCTGCGAGCCCCGGGGCAGCGGGCCGCCCCTGTGCGGCCTGCCTGGGCCGCGGCTGGACCCAGAGGGGACAATGAGGGCGGGCCGCCCAGGGCTCCCGGCGGGGCCGCGCCCAGCCCAAGCCTGCCGCCCGCCTCGGCGTGCCCAGTCAGCGCCCAGGCTCCTGGGGAAGCCAAGAGTGAGGTGGTGCGCTCCTCACGTGCAGGTGCAGGTGCCCGCCCTGCAGCCTGCTGGGTCCTCACGGTGCCGGCCCCCAGGCCAGGACCTGATGTTTCGGCTGAGGACCTGTCCCCCGACCCTGAACCTGGTGCCTCGGGGCCAAGGACCTGCCTACAGGCCAGAAGTCCTTGGGACCTGGGCAGGTGGAAAGTGATGCTTCTCACGGCGAAACGCGTAACACCAGCTCCCTTCTGCCCTGGTCTAGTGACTCCTTTCATGAAAGATCTCTGAAACGTTATCTGTGATTACGCCCAAACTCACTGGCTTTGATCCTTGAAATGCAAATCAAAGATCACATTGTACCTTCCCTGGGTCTGTGGGGCTTTCAGCGCCTGGGCCAAAAATAATAAAAGTGGCACCCAGCCAGGAAACACCTCCTTGAAGTGGGAATGAAACTTGGATTTTTTCGGTTGTATCTTCCCTAATTGACCTGATAATTTAAACTTCCGCTCTCAAGGGAGTGGGGGCGTGTTCCTGCAAATTCAGCTTACCTCAGACTCTAGGCAGCTCAGCCCAGCTCAGGGCCTATCCGCAGAGAGTGGCAGCAGACTTGTGCAAGAGGCTAATCAACTGGGTCAGAAAAGGCCCTTTTTGGTCCCAATTGCTCTTTTTCTTTCCGACCATCTTCTGTGTACAGCAATCATGTGCGATACAAAGTTTTGCTCAAAGAGGGACCGCATGTATACAACAGTGGCTGTCCAGTAAGCTAAGGTTAGTTTATTATTGAAACAAAAATATTTTTATAACTTTAGTGTAGCCTAAGGGTCCAGTGTTTACAAGTGTACAGTAGTGTAAGGTATAGCAATGTTCTAGGCCTTCACACGCACTCACCGCTCACACTGACTCAACCCAGAGCAACTTCCAGTCCTGCAAGCTCCATTCATGGTATGTGCCCTATACAGGTGCACCATTTTGTATCTTTTATACTATATTTTAGCTGCACCTTTTATATGTTTAGCTATGTTTAGATACATAAATACTTAGCATATTGTTAGAGTTGCTTACAGTAACATTCTTTATACAGGTTTGTAGGCTAGGAGCAACAGGTTATACCACATAGCCTAGGTGTAGTGCACCTGCGGTCCCCGATGGAACAGCACAGCAGGAAGTGAGCGGCAGGCCAGGTGAGGTGGCTCATGCCTGTAATCCTAGCACTCTGGGAGGCCAAGGTGGGCAGATTGCTCGAGGTCAGAAGTTGAAACCAGCCTGAGCAAGAGCGAGACCCCATTTCTACTATAAATAGAAATTAATTGGCCAACTAACATATATAGAAAAAAACTAGCTGGGCATGGTGGCCCATGCCAGTAGTCCCAGCTACTTGGGAGGCTGAGGCAGGAGGATTGCTTGAGCCCAGGAGTTTGAGGTTGCTGTGAGCTGGCAACAAAGTGAGACTCTGTCTCAAAAAAAAAAAAAAAAAAAGGAAGTGAGCAGCAGATGAGCAAGTGAAGCACCATCTGTATTTATAGCCGCTCCCTATCACTCCCATCACCCCCCTGCCCTGTCCCCGGTCTGAGGAGAAATTGTCTTCCGTGAAACCGGTCCTTGGCGCCAAAAAGGTTGGGGACTGCTGTTAAGTAGGCTATACCAGCTAAGTTTGTGTAAGCACACTCTGTGATGTTTGCACAATGACAAATTGTCAAACAACACACGCACATTTCTCAGAATGTATCCCTGCCATTAAGCGACACATGACTATTTTTTTATCATGGTAAAATATATAATACATAACATAAAATGTATCATTTTAGCCATATTTAGGTATACAATTCAGGGGCATTAAGTACATTCATATTCTTATGTAACCATCACCACTATCTATTTCCAGAATTTTTTCATCACCCCAGGACCTCTGTACCCATTAAACACTAACTCTTCATCCCCTCCCACCCCCAGGCCCCAGGAACCTGCATTCCACCTTCTGTTTCTGTGAATTTTGGCTACTCTAGGTACCTCACATGAGTGGGATCATACAGTATTTGCCATTTAGTGACAAGCTTATTTCACTGAGCATATTGTCCTCAAGGTTTATCCACATTGTAGCATGTTTCAGAATTTACCTCCTTTTTAAGGCAGAATAATATTCCATTGTAAGGATAAGCCACGTTTTGTTTATCCATTCATCTGTTGATGGACACTTGGGTTGTTTCCACCTCTTGGCTGTCATGAATAATGTTGCTATGAACATTAGTATACAGGTACATGCTTGGGTCCCTGCTTTCAATCCCTTTAGGTATATACCTAAAAGAGTGAAATTGCTGAATCCTATGTAATCTTTTGTTTAACTCTTTGAGAAATCGCCAAACTGTCTTCCACAGAAGTTGTACCATTGTACATTCCCACGAATGGTGCACAGGGGTTCCAATTTCTCCACATCCTCGTCAACACTTGGTTATTTTCTGTTTTGTCTTTCTTATAATAGCCATTCTAATGGGTGTGAAGTGGTATCTCATTGTGGTTTTGACTTACATTTCCCTAATGACTAGTGATATTATCTTTTTCTGCTTGTTGGCCATTTGTTTATCTTCCGCTGTAAAAATGTCTAAGTCCTACACCCTTTTTTTTTTTTTTTTTTGGTGACAGAGTCTTGCTCTGTTGCCCAGGCTAGAGTGAGTGCCATGGCATGAGGCTAGCTCACAGCAACCTCAAACTCCTGGGCTCAAACAATCCTTCTGCCTCAGCCTCCAGAGTAGCTGGGACTACAGGGATGTTCCACCATGCCTGGATAATTTGTTCTATATATTTTTAGTTATCCAGCTAATTTCTTTCTACTTTTAGTAGAGATGGGGTCTCACTCTTACTCAGGCTGGTTTTAAACTCCTGACCTTAAGCAATCCTCCCATCTCAGCCTCCCAGAGTGATAGGATTACAGGCATGAGCCACCGCACCCAGCCATATGCCCATTTTTAATTGAATTTTTTTGTTGTTGCTGAGTTGTAAGAGTTTTCTAGATATTCTGAATATTAATCCCTTACCAGATATGATTTGCAAGTATTTCTCCCATTCCTCAGGCTGCCTTTTCACTCTCTTTATAGTGTCCTTTGATACACAGAAGTTTTTAATTTTCAAGAAGTCCATTTTGTCTATTTTTTGCCTGTTGCTGTTGCCTGTGCTTTTGGTGTCATATCCAAATTATTGCCAAATCCCATGTAGTGAAGCTTTTGCCCTATGTTTTCTTCTAAGAGTTTTATAGCTGTTAGTCTTACATTTAGGTCTTTGGTCCATTTGGAGTTAAGTTGTGTGTATGGCATTAGGTAAGGATCCATCTACATTGTTTAGCATGTGGATATTCAGTTTTCCAGCACCATTTGTTGAGAAGACTGTTCTTTTTCTGTCTTGGCACCCTTATTGAAGCTCATTTGACCATATATATAAGCCTTTATTTCTGGGTTCTCTGTACCATTGGTCTACATGTCTGTCTTTATTTGAGTGCCACATAGTCTTTTTTTTTTTTTTTCTTTATACGATTGGCTACATCTGTGGAAGCCACATAGTCTTGATTACTCAGCTTTATAGTAAATTTTGAGGTTTTTTTTTTTTTGTTTTTGTTTTTTTTTTTGAGACAGAGTCTCACTCTATCAACCGGGCTAGAGTGCCGTGGCATCAGCCTAACTCACAGCAACCTCCAACTCCTGGGCTCAAGCAATCCTCCTGCCTCAGCCTCCTGACTAGCTGGGACTACAGCATTGCCACATGCCCACTAATTTTTCTATATTTTATTGTCCAGCTAATTCTTTCTATTTTGGTAGAGACGGGGGGTGTGTCTCACTTTGCTCAGGCTGTTCTCGGAAGCACTCCTGACCTCCAGTGGTCCGCCTACCTTGCCCCAGAGTGATAGGATTACAGGCATGAGCCACCGCACCCGGCCACTCAGCTTTATGGTAAATTTTGAAATCAGGAATATATATATATTGGTTATTAGGAGTCCCTTGAGATTCCATATGAATTTTAAGATAGGTTTTTCTATTTTTGAAAACACCTTTGGCATTTTAATGGGAATTGCATCGCATCTATAGATTACTTTGAGTAATGTTGACATCTTAACAATATTAAGTCTTCCAATCCCTCAACACAGGATGTCTTTCCTTTAATTATGTCCTTAATTTCTTTCAGCAATGTTTTGTAGTTTTCAGTGTACGAGTCTTTTACTTTGTTGGTTAACTCCTAAATATTTTATTCCTTTTGATGCTAGTTAAATGAAACTGTTAATTTCCTTCATGGAGTGCTCATTGTTAGCTCTTTATAGAAAGGCGACTGATTTCTGTGTGTTGATTTTGTATTCTGCAACTTTGCTGAATTTATTAGCTCCAACAGTGTTTTAGGATTTTCTACATATAGGATCATGTCCTCTGAAAACAGAGATAATTTTACTTCCTTTCCAATTCGGATGCCTTTTGTTTCCTTTTCTTGCCTAATTGCTCTGGCTAGGACTTCCAGTACTATATTGAATTATAAGTGGCAAAAGCAGGCTTCTTTATCTTGTTCCTGTTCTTAAAGGAAAAGCTTTCAGTCTTTCACCATTGAATGTGATGCTGGCTGTGGGTTTCTCATGTGTGGGCTTTATCATATTCAGGAAATGTCCTTCTATTTCTAGTTTATTGGGTATTTTTATCATGAAAAGATGTTGCATTTTGTCAGATGCTTTTTCTATGCCAATTGGGATGAACATGTGTTTTGCCTCCTTCTTCCTATTAATATGGTATATTACATTAATGTCAATGTATATTTTTTAGTATTTTTTTTTTGCCTAACCCCCATTATCCTTCCCCTGAGGATATTATTTCCCCTTGGGTCCCAACCTGATGCTGCAATTTGGCTCTTATCCTGCCCGAACCTTAT